CCCCTAGTAAGTTTATAGACAGCCACCAGGTCCCCTCTCAGCCTTCTCTTGTGACGGCTAAACAGGTCCCGTAGCCTCTCCTCGTAAGGTCTGCCCTACTGTCCCCGGATCACACGAGTGGCCCTCCTTTGGACCCTCTCAATGCTGTCCACATCCCTCCTGAAGTGCGGCGCCCAGAACTGGACGCAGTACTCCAACCAGTGTCACATAGAGAGGGAGGATCATCTCCTTGGCCCTTCTTGAGATGCATCTGTGGATGCACAACAAGGTACCGTTAGCCCTCCTGATCGTGTCCTCACATTGGCAGCCCATGTTCATCTTGGAATCAATAATGACTCCAAGATCTCTTTCTGCCTCTGTGCTTTTGAGAAGAGAGTTCCCTAGCCTATAGATATACTGCTGGTTCTTACTGCCCAAGTGCAGCACCCTGAATCCCATCCTATTCTAATTTCCCCACCCCTGTGACCTGTACATTATGATTAATGTATGATTGTGTTTGCAGCCCTGACTTAGATTAAACTTAATTCCAATTTTTTTTTAAGTTCAATTTTTGTATATTTTTCTCCTCATGGTGTCACTATTGGTTGCAGTTTTTAAACTGTGACAGTCTTGGCAGTAGGGGGCTTTACATGGATGAAAACCAACCTGTGTGGATTGTTTCTGGAGATGAGGGAGGAGGAGGGTTCTTTAAGTGGGTCAGTGTGGTTGAGTGGGAATGTAGGAGGTCAGGTGGCTGCCAGGGATGTAGATGGGAGGAAGGAAAGGCCTCCAAAGAGGGATATCTTGTCTTGTGACATGTGGTCTGTGCATTGAGCTGAAATGGGCAGTGCAGTTCTACTTTGCCTTAAGGGAGGACTGCAGGGGAAGCTGTTTAGATGCAGACATGGCACTCTGGCCCAGATCCTCAAAGGTGTTTTGTAAATATGTTTTAGTATCTGGAACTTAGGGACTAGTCTCCTGTGTCTTTTTGCCTAGAAGGGCTCTTTATGAGCCTGCAATTGGTTGTCAGGGTCAGTTTATGAAAGAACAATAGCATGGATAAGAATGGATGTTTGGGAGGGTCCCAGCTTACAGAGGTTTGAAAATCATTTACAATAAAGAGTACATAAAAGAGCTTATTTGTCTAATGCTTGTGCTCCAACCTCCAGGGTATATGTTTCAAAACAAAGCTAAACAAAACCCTGGCATTCACACAGGCTCCTGTTTGGATGTGCCACAGCCCACCCCTGCTTCTACATCCCTGTGCATAGGAATACTAGCCTTTTACACATTTCCAGACCTTTGCAGTTCTGTAATGGTATTTGACACCATGGACCACAACTCTATATATTAATATGTAGGGAAGCCATACTTGGTAAAATGGCCTCTGTGATAAATGTGTTTGTAGTCTCAGTAACTGTAAACTACAATAAACTGGTTTCAGTTAACAGAGTTACGGTATGAATGTGTTAAGTGTAACCTGAAGGTGAGGAAAATGGGTTTGTTCCCATTTTCTGCTTCTTTGTAGCATAAAAATTATAAACCTGATATTTCCTAATGTAAGCAGCATTGCATTTGTGTTATGTTAGTGGAGGAAAACCTCCAAGAATACACACAGCCCTCCCCCCAGTCAAATGAGTTGTATGAATCACAAAAAAGAAAGAAAAAGGGGGCTACTTTCCCTTCTTTCTATTAAAGTCATATTTAAAGCATGAGTAAACAAGTTAAGAGTTTGGTTCCTTTCATCATGCCTGTTATGGCAATAAACAAGTCTCTGAACTTTTGAGAGACACATGTATGTTGAAAAATATATTTATAGTTTAGTTTTTTGTTTTACTTCTTACAAGAAAGTGACAGTATTTGCTTTCACTTATTAATGCATGAGGATACTTTTGTAAATAAGCCTATTAATGTTTTAAATACATTTTTGTTAAATATTTTACTAATTCTGCCTTCTTCCTCAAATTGTTTTTGTGCAGCTGTCTATCGTGGCTAATTAACTATGGGATAAGTGCACAAAATATATTTTTTAATTTTGACATGGTTAAAAAACAGTAATTAAAACTGAGCTCTGTCAAAGATTAAAAAAAACAAACAAAAACTGCATGGGTAATGAGCAGGAAATACTTTGACATGTTGTTATAAGTTAATTATGTTGTATGGTGCTTGATTTCCTTGGGTTGTAGACTAAATTAAATGGTGTGAGCCTAAAGTCCTTATGCCTTCTTTTGTACTCATTCGTGTATTGTAAACTTCCTGACAATGTTTGTAAAAGTAAATATTTTATTGTGTATTTTTTCCTCTTTGGTACCTCTTCCTCATTTTCTCAGCCGTTTATATCTAGTGTTAATGGACCATAACGTTGCAAGATATCTAAGCTAGAAGGTATATAGGGAGGAGAATTTCCATTCTCAGGTCCGTCATGAATGAAATGGTATAAAGTGTTTGCTTAACAGCACTTAAGCTTCTTTGATATCTTAGTGGTTTCTTAATATCCCTTCAGTGAGAGCTAGTTGTTCAGAAACGCTCGCTGCCAAATTCTAGCTTCCTCTATAATTACAGTTCCTTATTTCCCTGGTAAATCAAATCTTAGAATGAATAGCAGCAGTTTTCTGAAATGAATAAAAGAGCCACGATTAAGTTAAGATTTCTTGGCAACTGTATACTACTACGGCACATGAGAGCTTCATCAAAATTAGATAGAGGTCACAAAGTCAGACACTTGGAGATGCCAAAATTAGGGTTTCTTGTCTTCATCTTGATTTGAACCCCTTGTGTTATATGCTTTATTTATGTTACAGTCTTAATGACACTTGTTCTAATAATTGGAAGGTGCAAAGCAAATGAAGCAGGGGAGTGTAGGAAACAAAACAATGTCTTAATGATGAGGGCAGCTAAATGCTGTCCTAGAGAATTGGATTTTATCCCTGCTTCCAAGGAATCCTGGGGAAATTACTTACACTTTCTATAAGTGGTCACTGATTGCATGTTCTTCATATTCTGGTTCTCCAGCTTGGTTTACTAGGATCGGATCTGGAGGAATGCTGAGCATTTAAGGTTGCAGGTAAAATCAGATGTACCAGTGCTTGGAAACAGTTAAGCAATTTGCAAAATTAGGTCCTGAGATCTCAAGTTGGATGCTCAAAAATGGTGGATACTTTTGCCCTTAACCTATGTGCATCGCTTGAAGAATGAGTACCATGGAAAAGTCTGTAAGGAAATTAATGTTGTTTTCAGAGCACAGTTTGAACAGTATGCAGTAAATAAGACCAGATTGTTTAACGAGTATAAAACAAAATAATGAGCCCAGTTCATTCTGTCTACTGAATGAGAGAGGTCCTGTGGAAAAACAGTTTGTGACTGTGTAATTAAAAATCATTGTTATAATACAGACACACCAGGGGGTAAATTAAGGATCCATATACACCCTTCATTTTGGCATTTTCTTTCACTTCCATGATTTGACCTCACAACGTTAATGTGTGTGCGTGTGTGTGCGCGCACGTGCGTTTGGGAGGAGGTTCTAAATTTTAAATAACTCAAACTCAAAAAATTCATCATGGGACATAGAAGTATTAGGTCCAGTGCACAGATCTCTCCCTTTTGAGCTAATGGAGTAGCAAATAGCAGTAGCAGTTTCTCATCCTTAATATGGACTGATACTGAAAGAGAATGAAGTATATACTTTTCATCTGGGTTTTTTGCAGATTCTGGATTCTTTGCCTTGTCACCTTCAGCTACTTCCCATCCCAATCCAGTCTTTTCCCCACCCCAAGCCTGTTGTCCAAGTTCCATTGTGCTCACCTGTCTACTCTTGGGCTCCTTGTGTTGGTCCCAGTATTCTTGTGCAGGTAGTACCTTTTCAGTCTTATCATCCAACCACCTCCCAGTTCTAGTTTTCCTACCCAAGATCCTGGTCCAAGCTCGCTCTTCGTTCTCCTGAAGCTCATTTTTTCCAGTTTCTCTCTTCCCTTTCCCTGACTCCTTGTCCCAGTACATTTGCTCAGCCAGTCCTATTGCTATGCTTACACCCCAGCAATAGTGTAACATGCGAAGGGAAAGCAGACCTCATGCCCAAGGTACTTACCCATTCCCGACTTAGCTTGTCCTTCCAAGCTATATGTCAAAGTGGCACAGGCAGTGTGTAATTGAGTGCAAGGTAAGCTGGGAATCATAGCTTTGTAGGGTGGCTGACAGGGAAATGGGGCTGGGGCTTAATACAGATTGACAGTGGAGGAAGGAAACAATGAATAGGTGTAGGGGGAGAGACAAGCTTGGAAAGAAATCCAGGGACTAGAAGCCAGTGTGCTTAGGATCTGACAGTGAAGTTGGCTGCCGTTGGTAGGATAATTGACCTACATTTTTGCTATGAAAATCGGCAATTTTTTATCCTCCTGACATGGTCTTTTGTGGCATAAAAATGTGGTAAATGTTTTTACCTCCCACAGCAGTGAACTCCCTTGCCACTCCAGAGAACTACAGTTCACAGCACACCTTGCACTTTATAACATGCTGTTCTCAAGGCTGCTGGCTGCTGCTCCTTTATGCTGCCTTGTGGGGGAAGGGTGAGGGTGGGTTGCCTCGGGCATTGCCTCCCAGTTGCAGCCTGCCATTTTCCAGGTACAAGCCTCATTGCCCAACCAGTTAAAGTCCCCTTTCCCCTTGGTTCCCAGTTCCCCATCTCCAGTTCTGTTCACTGTCCAGTCCCTCTTTCCCCTCTCCTAAATCCTACCCAGGTCATTCGCACCAGATTTGTTCCAGTCCCCTCTGCCTCTGAATCCTACAGTTTCTTCCA